TTGTATTGTTCGATACATATGCGTACCGAACCGAAAGCACTGTATCGAACGGTTCAATATCGATACGAATATCGTTGCACCCCTAATATATATATATGTTCATCACAAAAAACATCAGAATCTTTTACAAAGTCTCAAAAGGCTTGAATCATACAAACACTGAGACACACACATCAGTGTTTGTGAATGCCGTCCATCAGTTTTTGCTGCTTATCTGCATGTACGTCGTATCGTTGGACTGTTAACTACGAGAGTACCAACAAAACTGAAGCCGAGATCCCAGATATGAACTTTGATTGTTCACCTTTCTAGCTTTGTTGTCATAGAAACAGTATTCCTTGTTTTAAGTGTTGCGTTTGATCGCACTCGAAGCCTGAATATTTTGCTTTGTGTGTTTAGGAGTGTTGGGGTGCTGGCATATGTGATGCTCACAGGAATCTCTCCATTCCTGGGCGAAGACAAGCAGGAGACGTTTCTCAACATTTCCCAGCTCAGTGTGAGCTACAGTGATGAGGAGCTTCAGCAGCTGGACCCAGCTGCTCTGTCCTTCATCCAAATGCTGCTCCGCAAACACCCACAGTCAGTCACAGAAACAACACAGTTCACTCTAATGTGGCCTCAGAATGTGGTATCATTTTTGCCTTTGTGTATTTCTCTTATCTTTGGAGCTTAATCAGCATTTTTATAACCTTTGACCTGCTATGACCAGTTTAAGATAAATGGCTGACTGCCACTGAAACAGAGTATGACATTTCTTGATGCATGCTCAATCATCCAGGTAAGTAAATCTCCAAAAGTTGATTCTGTTCATCTGGACGTAGCGTTTGTTGGAGAAACGCTTCGTCACTCATCCAGGTGACGTCTTCAGTCTCAGCTGACTGCAGGTTTCAATCTTATAAACAGGACATTTGCATAATGACTGAAACCAGCCCACTGAAGGAACAATGGGCTGGGAGGTCAGTTCCTTAATCATAATTATGCAAATTCTCATGACCATTGATCAAAACCCACTGATCAATGACCAATGATCCAAGACCATTGATCAAGGCCCACTGATCAATGGCCATGAGTACCATTCACAGAGTTGGGGAATGGCTGCAATCACAGCATTGTAAGATGGTGACAGATGTACCCTTAGGCCCCCTCCTCGATTCAGAGATGGTCTTTCCCTTTTCACGTAAATGGCCTCCTTGACTCCGTGCTCAAACCAGCGTTCCTCCCTGTCCAGGATGTTACATCCTCATCCTTGAAAGAGTGTCCACTGGCCTGTAGGTGTAAATAGACTGCAGAGTCCTGGCCTGACGAGGTGGCTCTTCTGTGTTGTGCCATCCGCTTCACCAGAGGTTGTTTGGTTTACCTGATCCTGGCACATAACAGCGTAAACAACAATACTCTGTTTGTGTCGGGGGACCCGATCTTTAGGGGTGGACCTTTTTCTTTTTTTTTTCCCAGTCATTATGCAAATGTCCTGTTTATAAGATTTGGGGAAACCTGCAGTCAGCTGAGACTGAAGAAGTCACCTGGATGAGTGACGAAACATTTCTCCCACAAAACGCTACATCCAGATGAACAGAATCAACTTTTGGAGAGTATGACATGGATAACTGTTTCACGTGTGGGTCTGTGTTTGTATCCAGGGAGCGGGCCACAGCCGAGCACTGTCTCACACATCCGTGGCTTCAGCCCACTGAGCCTCAGGACAACCAGACAGTGGAGGAGATCCTCTCTGTGGAGGAAGAGCCCAGCTCCACCAGCAGCTCCACCAGCAGTCCCGAACCTCCCACAAGTACAAGCTCAGCTGAGGAAGAGGATGCAGGGGAAGTTCATGGCCCGCTGACAGAGGAGCTGATAGTCATGGCAGCCTACACCCTGGGTCAGTGCCGTCAGTCCTCCGCCTCCAGCGTGGAGGAGGCGGCCCTGACTGCTGAGCAGAAAGCCATTTCCAAACGCTTCAAGTTCGAGGAGCCCTTCAGTGCTCTGCAGGAAGTCCCTGGAGAGTTCATCTACTGACCCATTACACGCACCAGCAATCTCACCGAGGACAACTTAGTGCTGTCACATTACCACACAAACCCTCTTAACTATATACTGTAAGTATATAATCAGATACTGTTGCACAGTCAGTCTCTTATTTCAACTGTTGGAACTTTTTAAGAACCTGCAAAGCCAACTTCACTTTACCCTCCTCCTCCTCAACACCTCCTAAAGTAACTACTGTAGCTTGATGTTGCATTTTATTTGGTTTGCTGTTGTAATGACTGACAGAGTGTAGCGGCAGCATGACACACTGTTTGCTCCCATTTGATACCAAAAGACAGACCTCCGCCTCAGTGTGTTTGAGCAGAATTCACATTCTGGGAATAGGAGCTGTAAAAGCTGTCAAAGACCAGCACAGATACGTACACGCAGACCTGTACACAAACGTTTCCAACACTGATTCAAACTGAAAGTTCATTTTTGGCTTAAGATGACAGAACACCGATTGCCACGCCTGTTTTGTAGTTCTGGATCACAAACAGTGGGCATAAACACGAGAGACTGTCATATGAGAAAAAGCTACAGAACAGCTTTTTTATTGTTATTTAGTTAAATGCAATTTAAAGAACTGCTTGCATAATAAAGGAAAGATATACAATGCTGGTGCTATGCTTCTAAATTATTTCTAAATGCAGCCATTATTGTTCCTGCTCTCTTATTAATATGACTAATAAAAGTCCTTGTACGCTTGCAGCTGGCTCTCTAGAAGTAATGCAGTGTAGTTTATATATCTGGATTCAAACAGAGTTTCCGTGTGAGCCATCAGACAAGAAGCATCTGAAGACACGTGCTGTGGTCCTTCCTTTTAGGCCCCCTGTGAGCCAATGGGGTTTGAGTATGAGTGCCACTGTATGACTCTGCAAGCTTTATTTATTTCACCTTAGCTCTCAGATAAAGATTACTCAAACATATGATCTCTGGTTTCTATTTCCGCCCATTTTATTAATATTTAAGATTTTTAATTTGATGCCAGCAAAATATTTCAGAAAAGTTGGAGCATGCAGAGTGACTGACAGGAAATGTGTTGCACCCTCAGAGCAGCCTGGACTCATGACCTCAGCAGGAGGGTGGTGGCTAAATAAAGCACACACATAAGCGATGTGCAGTTGCCAACGATCAAATCTCTGTTGGCATGTTTGCCTTTCACTGAGCCTCCTGTGTGTATTTGTATTTAGTGCCATGCGCAGAGAACGATGGCCTCACTTCTTGCTGTTTTTCATGGTTATTATCAGCAGTAGTAGTATTTCTGTATAATGTTACAAATATTACTGAGATTTTTTCAAAAATTTGTGTTAGTGTAAAACAATATGATTTAAAGACCCACGTCATATAGAAAACCTTCCTTTTAGAAAACAGACTGGTCTCCTCAGGGTTCAGTCCTTCCTGATGTGGACACGGATCATTTCCAGCTTGGACATGGAAGCGATGAACTCTCCAGGCTTCAATTGGGTCTGTCCTGTAAATGTAATGTCTGTGAAATTCTAAGCTAAACAGATTTGTACATGAATGTGCTGTGCTGTAAATAAACACTACAAAAGTGCTGAAAGTTGTCTTGTTTACTGATTAAACCAATAAGTGTTCTGTGGAGAGTGCTCTGTAGTTTTTGCACTGTATTTTAAAAGCTTGTGGAAATGCAAAGATCCAGATAAAATGCTCTGTACTCCAAATTCAATTTTATTTATACAGCACCAAATCACAACAACAGTCGCCTCAAGGCGCTTTATATTGTAAGGTAGACCCTACAATAATACATACAGGGAAAACCCAACAATTATATGACCCCCTATGAGAAGCACTTTGGCAACAGTGGGAAGGAAAAACTCCCTTTTAACAGGAAGAAACCTCCAGCAGAACCAGGCTCAGGGAGGGGCGGGGCCATCTGCTGTGACCTGTTGGGGTGAGAGAAGGAAGACAGGAAGACATGCTGTGGAAGAGAGAAAGAGATTAATAACAAGTATGATTCAGCACAGACAGGTGAGTGAACAAGAAATACTCGTGCATCATGGGAATGCACTGAGTCAGAAGATCATCCAGCCAATCAGAGCATAGACTGTACTGCATGTACAAGACAAAAGAGACAGCATTATACTCGCCCAGTTAGAAGTGGGTGTGTGGCCCACAACTGTAGCTGTGACTGTCACGGGTCCACTTTCTATTGGCCAGATGTTTATTGTTTTGTGACACTGGAGCAAATGTCTGATTGGCAGCGGCTTTGTTTTTCAGCATAATGATCCCAAATAGTAAAAGCAGTAAAAGCATACTTGGATTAAAACGCACACACAATGAAAGACAGCGAGCCATGGAGAGGCCTCCCCACAGCCCAGAACTCAACACTGTTGAAGCAGGGTGCTATTTGTCAGCAAAAACAGAAGTACGCATGTGTGTCATGAATTATGTGCAGTAATGTTCAAATGTGTATAAACTGTTGAACGACTGTAGCCGTTTGCAAACAATCCTACTTCTCCCATCATCTTGATGCAGAATTCTCATTTTCATGTCTTGAGCTGGAGCATTTCCCCCAACGGCCACAAGATGGAAGCAGAAGTCTCTATTTGACATGGTCCATATATTGTGGCAGGTAAGATTAAAAACGTATTTTTACCTGTAATGATAATCTCATTTTAATTGTATATATTTTTATATTACTACCAAATTTCATGAGCATGGGTTTTGTTTATAGTGGAATTCTCTTTATTTAAATCTGAAAATTCAAGGACATAAACTAAAATACTAAAAATGCAAGCGTCACTTGCATTCCCCCTTAAATCTTTTTTTGTCTACTTCCTTTAGGGATCTAAATCATCTGCCGCCATCTCAGCCTATCCCCAGCATCCTCCTCTGTCACACCAACCCTCTGCGTGTCCTCCTCCATTGCATTCATGAATCTTTTACATTCATGGTGTTCCTCTTTTGCTCCTGCCTGGCAGCTCCATACTCCTCTCCACCGTTCCTCATCTGCACATGTCCAAACCATCTCAGCCTTGCCTGCTCTGACACACTCCGACATATTTCTGATCTATTTGTTTCTAATCCCGTCCATCCCGGACACTCCCAGTAAAAATCTTTATACCTGCAGCTCAGCCTCACGTGTCACGTCATAGCAGGTGTCACTATCATCGCATAACCCTTTCTTTCACTCTTTCTGCCATCCTTTTGTCACATATCACCCCCCATCTCCACCCACTCCACCCTGAACTCTGCATAACATCCATCCTTCTTCAGCTTCCACGTGTTCAGAGTTAATGTATAAATGTTGGTTTTATAGTGTCACCAGTTCAGCAGCTCTATATGGTGTCAGGCACGGAGCCGCTAATTAAAGCTGACACCAATTACCCTGCAACACACACACACACACACACACACACACACACACACACACACACACACACACACACACACACACAGAGTGTGTTCTCAGCTGGTCCCAGTGTTAGCAGGATGATGCTGAGCTCTAGTCAGCTTCTGTCTCCTTACAACGCTGCTGTTCGTTAGTAAATAGTGAATGGACCAGTACTTAAATAACACTTTTCTACTCTAAGTGAGCACTCGAAGCACTTTTTGCTATAATCCTCAGTTGCACACAAATGTGCTTTCCCCCCCAAGCACCTTGTTTAACACTCCCAGACAAACATGCACCAGCAGATGCATCAGGGCAACACAGAGTTCTCCATCTTATCCGGTAACACTTTGACATGCATGGTGGAGTAGCTGGGGATCTAACATTCAATCTGTCTGATTAGTAGATGATCCACTCTACTGACTGAGCTATAGCCACCCACAACGATACTGCATGGATCTTTAATGTAACGCTGATTATTTTGTTGCATGCGTTTGACTTAATGTTTGATTACAGTAGAGTTTCTCTCTACGGGTTGTTTTCTTTTCTTCATTGACATAAAGCACTGAGTGATTTCTATTTGATAACTGCATCCAGCAGGCTTCTCCATTTTCACTCCTGCTGACAACTCTGGTAGAGAAAATCGGGACATGGTCTCACAGTGTGTGTTTCAGACTTTTAAGGACATCAATGGAAGCTTATGGCACTACCCTACATGTTGAAAAACATGCAAAAGGGACAGGCTTAGTTAGCAAGCGCACACACGTGAAGGTGTGCAATTTACAGACAAATGCATTTGCCACAAACTAGTGCCAGACTTAAGCCCAGATGAATGAGGAGGCTTGCATTAGAAAGAGCATAAAATCTTTGCCAAACCAAATATGTAGATCATCAAAAGTGAGATTTCCACACTGGGTTGTTCAAGGCCTGGGTTAACAATAATGGCAACTATGCTGTTGTTGTGCAGAAACAAAGGAAAAGTTCAGTATTTGCTACTTAGTGCTGAGTAAGAGACTAATAATGTATTAGAACTTCACTCAAGTCTGTAGCTCAGAGCAGGTAATATTATTTATAAGATATTTCCACGAGAAATGCTGCAAAAGGCACCAGATTCCTGAATCTCTTCCAACGCCTGCTCACAGTCTCCATGCCTGCAGCATCAGGTCAGCATTGCAGGAAAACTGATGGTGAACACACAAATGCATGTTTCTGTGGCAGATCATCTGTGGTTCTAAATGGTTTGTAAATCTTCCTCAAAAGGGTCACAGACCTTGTAAAAGTGCAGTAAAGGCCAGATGAAAAGGCTCGAATCTCTGGACGCTATAAATGTGTCCTTTAGATGTCATTCTAAATTGAAAAGCAGCTAATAACTACAGTTATCAAATAAAAAGAGAACATAATGCTGCTTGGAGCAGCAGATGTGCCAAGATAATGTCTTGTACTGGAAATCTTGCATGGCAAAAAAAAACCCCTCAATTGCTAAATGTCTTCGATGTTACTGGATATTGGTGTTCTTTCTTATTGTTATATTTCTGTTGCTATGTATAAAAATGCTGTGCTAAATGCATTAGTACACAGAAACCATTCAGACATCTACCCAAAGCTTTAAAAGCTCTTAACATGTGATAAACCATGGAACCTGTCTGTCCAATCATTTGATTGTCTTGGACATAGGATATAAAACATAATAAGTTAAAGAAAAAGAAAATTCACTACTTGAGTAATTTGCACTGGACCAGCAAGAAAAACAAAGATTTGTGTGACATCAATCCTCACCTTTGAAGAGAGGGGCTGCAAATAAGTACAATTTAAAAAAAGTTCTTTTTCTTTTGCTTACAAGGGACACTTTTATCAAACATAAGTCTCTCTGATAAGGCACGTAAAGTATCGAGCATCTAAATAAAGGTAGTAAAAAGACAGTCGGGCTGTTATCAGCAGTTATTTATATTTCTCCTGACAGCAAAAAGTTACATTCCCCAAGACTGAAGCACATAAATCAAATAACAACGTGAAGGTTGTGACAAAGAGCCCAAATAATCTCAAGTGACAAAATCATCTTCAAGAGTGCAATCATCCGTAAACCCTCGACTGCTGCAACTGCCTGTCACGCCAGACTCATAAATCACTGTCAGCCAAATGGAGATTATGGAGATATATGTTTACTTTAGTATCACATCAATGCAGCGCTGTCTGTGTTTCATTTGATGCTTTTCTTTCCTTTCTCTCCCTCATTAGACTTATACATTACCATTAATTCTTTCTCTGCAGATCTCTGCTGTCTGAGCTGAATCTCATAATTCATTCTCTCTCGCTCTCTCTATCCTCCTCTATTTCCTCCTCTTTCTGTTTTGCATTTGTGCTCCTGTGGGATCCTTTATGGGGTTAACTATAACACTGGAGTGTTTACATCCTCTGAGTCCCAGTAATTACTGCATCACGGTTCAGTCATGTAATGGAAACGCCGGAAATGAAAGACAGGAAATCCGTGAGGAGATATCTCTGTCTGTCTCTGATTGTTTTGACCCAGAACTGTTTTTCCTATTAGCACTACAACCCATTCAACCCATATCAGAGGCTAACAAGGCAGGGTTTCATCTTATCCAGGTAACTTTGAGGTTAGCCTTGGGTTTTCTGCATTACAAAAGTGTTTCACTTCTTAATCAGGAATCTAACCTGCTCCAGAACACATTCAATTCACAGATTACAGATGGACAGGTATGAAATCACCACCTACTGTCCAGTCAATTCTCCAACTGGAAGGCTCCCTGTAGAGGTCTTCAGTTCCTGGAAGTCCTGGAAGAAATAAATATAGATTCTTAGACACAACTTTATTCCTTGATTTTTTTTTTCTTTTAGGCAGAAGAAGATTCTGCAGTTGAGAGAATGAAGACTAAAACTGTCGGCAGCAGGTTGTGTTCCAAGTTTCTGTTTAAAATCAGCTGGAAGCTCCTGTGAATAAATCCATCTTCCTTTACTCAGGAGCTCAGACACCTCTAAGAACTTTTACCACTGGAACATCGGTATCACTGGATCAGTATTCACCTCAGCTCCACTGCACACCAGACCCAGCTTGTCAACCTTTCCTGCAGCCTCCCAGCTTGTCTCAAAGTCTTGGTCCACTAAGCTTAATCAGTCAGTCAGCAAGAGAAGAACATCCAAGACCTTCTACCCTGTTGCAACAAAGATGGCCACTACCTCAGTCA